TGTCAGAGCTATGAGATAAAACTAAGAAATAAAGAAAGAAACAAAGAAAGAAAGAAAGAAAGAAAGAAAGAGAGAAAGAGAGAGAAAGTGGATGATTATACTTTTTCGGGATGTAATTTACGTTTTTCTGGAAAAAAGAACGATAAACCACGAGAAAGAGAAAACCGTCGAGTTTAAGTTGGCGAGGTAAGGCAAGGCAAGGAAAGGCAAGGCAAGGAAAGGAAAGGAAAGGAAAGGAAAGGAAAGGCAAGGCAAGGGAAGACAAGGCAAGACAAGGCAAGGCAAGGCAAGGCAAGGCAAGGCAAGGCAAGGCAAGGCAAAGCAAGGCATGGTATGGCAAGAGAGACGGTAAAGGCAGCCTAAGCAACGACGGTCGCGCAAGAAAATTAGCAACGTTTGCTCCGCGTAAGAGTTATGAGGGCTTTGTAGCCGAACTACTCATGAACATTAAGGGTCATTACAATGGCGATAAATTATGGCTACTGTCTCGCGCAATATTTATGTTATCAATTCCGCGGAACGTAGAACCACTGAAGATACACAGGGCTCGAACCATAACGATTAGACACTTATTTTGAAGTACGCTTATTAAGTCACTTTTGTGAATGAGAAAATGTGTGTGTGTGTGTATATGTTTGTGTGTGTATATGAGAGAGAGAGAGAGAGAGAGAGAGAGAGGGGAAGTTTAATCTTTTTTCTCTCTTGTTTTTTTTTTTCTTTTTATATATATATATATACAAAAAATATATTCGATATTTCGAGTCGACTCAATTTTTACGACGCTCTCCTCTTAATTGAAAGTCTTAAAGAATGTTCCTTCTCTTCTCTCTCTCTCTCTCTCTCTCTCTCTCTCTGTCTCTCTTAAATCTTATTACTTCTTGTCCATTAAAGTTGCATTTCACTTTTGTAAAAAGAAATCTCGTAAGAATACGATTAATGATATATATTTTCTCGGGGGAGTGGGGGAGGGAAATGTTCCGAATTATGTATAACAATGTTTTTGACATTGTTATACATAAAATCCATATTAAATATAATTCGTTTATATCATCGTAAACATTAAACGTCTCATTCTTAAACTCCTTATCGTACTCTTTGTCTCAACATTTTATATCAATGCACAATGACAACCTGATGTTAATAATAATGATGATTAGTGATGTTGGTGATTGATAATGTTACAGTAGTATACAAGTATCATAGCAATTGTGTACGAGATCTGACAGAATAAAATAACAGAATGAAATCCAACGTGAGATATTTCTTCCTTTACCCTTGTGAATTTCATCCACTTCTTTCTTACTCTTTACCATCTAACAATCCTCTATACCCATCCTCTCCCTCCTCAATCCTGTACCCACCCTCACCCCTACGTTAACTGAAACTGAATTCCTATCCCATTATTCGGCCCAACTTTTTTCTATCGTTCCGGTAACGCGCAAGAACCATTCGAGCAGCCATTACACATGAATTCGTATTTGAAATACGTAGAGAGAGAGAGGGTGAGAGAGAGGGAGAGAGAAAGAGAGGGATGGGTTAGGGGGATTGGAGTGATGGTAGAAGGAGGGAAGGAGGTTGCGATGGTGGTGGTGGTGATAGTAGTGGTAATAGTGATGGTGGTGGTCGTTCACTTGGTTGAAAACTATTGAATATCTAAATATAGGACGGGCCAAAAGTTCTTACGTGATTTTAGAAAAAGATTAATTGATTTGTTCTTTATTTTTACCTGCTTTTTTTTTTTTTTGTTTTTTTTTTTTTTTTTTTTTTTAAATCATCTAGCAAACTCTTTTTGATCCAGCTAGTGAATAACTTTTAGTCCACACTGTATAGAAGACGTGTGTACATATATATATATATATATATATATATATATATATATATATATATATATATATATATATGGATTTTCTTATTTTCATTCATGATCCTTTCTTTCTTCCTAACTTTTCCTTTTCAACAAGTCAAAATATATTCTGGGTGAAAAGCCATCGCAAGCCAAGAGCGTCGATGAGTCGTCATTAAACAAGAAGACCGATTTATCAGGAACGAAAGCGCACGAGTTTCCATCGATATAAAGCAACTTTTCGTAAGATTTCCTAACATTAATCTCGAGCTTCTCGCGATTTCGAGAAACGCGCAAAACGTTTTTCTACGAAAGACATACATATAAACGTAATACACGAATATTCACACACACACACACACACATATATATATATATATATACACGAATGTTCCCTTCAATCGACGATAGTAAAAGAAACTGTTACATTAATATCACCCAACGAAAAACTTAATTTTATGGATGAGAGATCTAAAGAACTTTTAGTCGACGTGTTAGTAACGTCTTTAATGATACTTTTTACTTCAACGAGATAAATATTCCAATTGTTCGAAACTTTAAAAATATCATGATGAAGTCGATCCAAAGGAAGATCGATAGATCGATGATGATACTTGACTATCGTCGTCATGTTCGTTTAAACTTATCGAAAAGAATAATTTTTTCTTATATATGTCCGTCGTTACACCTGCCAATTATCACAAATATTTGTATAGTTGTGTTATTATAATATATATAATACAAGAACACGTGGTAAATGTGAGAACGTACATTTCATGAAAATATATTAATATGCATGATTATGGAAAATTTTAATTAAAACAACGCGCACTAGGAGTAC